GGCTTGGAGTGTAGCCTAGGAAGCAGGAATAGGCTAGGATCTGACTAGGTGTTTGGGCCCTATTCCATTATCTATCTGCCAGTGCTGTAACTGGCATAGGCTTGCCCTTTCCCAGGACCATTGGCCCAGAAATTCTCCCAGCCCCAGTTAGGGAGGAAGCTCACTTGGGCCCTTCACAGCCTGTAGGGTCTGCTGCATGACAGTCTGGGCTAGCTTTATTCTGCCATTGCCCAGATACACACGGTGTTAGCACCAGCTCTAATTTTAGAGCTAGATCTAGTTTATCCACTTAGATCTAGTTCACTTAATAACTAGGTGAAATTTGGTTTCAGATGAGAATCCAAGTCTCTCTTCTAGCTTTCCCCCGCCACCATCATCCTCTTTCTCCTTTACTTCTTCTCCCTGACTTGTGGACTTAAAGAAAAGGATACTGTACTGACATACATTTTTGGCTCATTTTCAGTAGGGATTAAAATCATAAAGCGATAGATATGAACACTTAAGATGTGAGTTATCAACCACAGGCAGACTTTTTAGAACAAGAAGGATTTATTTTGTTCTCTCCTCACCTAAATTGCTCCACATAGAAAGCTACTAATTAGATTATCACAGAGCAAGGCAAAACTAGGTATAGTCACTTTTTGGGTTGATAGCACAGGTTCCAAAGCTGTAAATAACCTTAGCTGTCATCTAGTCTCAATACTTTATAGTTGAGAAAATGAAACTTCAAAGGAGTGGAATAATTTTTTTTATTTTTATTTTTTGTGAACATACTGTACAGAGGGGTTACAATTACATGGGCAAGATAATGAGTACATTTCTTATCAAGCATTGCAGCCTCTCCTTTGTTTACCCTTCACATCCTGGAATAATTCTTAAAGTCACTCAATGAACAGGATTAAACTCTCAGTACCCACCACACAAATATGTGCACAAATAGATATACATATGGACATACATTTTATTTTATTTATTTATTTATTATTTTGCTGGTCCTGGGACCTGAACTCTGGGCCTGGGCGCTGTCCCTCAGCTCTTCAGCTCAAGGCCAGCGCCCTACCACTTGAGCCACAGCACCACTTCCAGCTTTTTCTGCTTATGTGATGCTAAGGAATTGAACCCAGGGCCTCATGCATGCAAGGCAAGCACTCTACCTCTGAGCCACCTTCCCAGCTCCTGGACACACATTTTAATTAGGTAACTCTGAGTTAAAGAAGATAGGACTTCGTTATATAGATCATATATACATATGTTTAATTAGGTAATTAGAGAAGATATGACTTAGTTATAATTATAGGTTATTCTGTAACGATAGCTTTCAAAAACTCCCTAAGCAACTATGTAAACTTTTCTTTCTTCTGTTGAAAGCATATTCATTGGAGAAATAGTGCCTAGATTTTGGAAAATCTTTGATCACAATGCCTACATCAGTCATTTTTGCTTCCCCATGCTTAGCATAATGCTAGGCTTTCCCTTTGATTCCTATCTTTTGAAGGGGAAGAGTTTTTGTTTTGCTTTGTACCACTGTAACAACTAATTGCATCTTTCTCTGTACTCTGGTTTTAATTTAATCATTCAGACTATCCCATTGTAACATATTTATTGCTAAGGAATCTTTGTCTACTTAACTACAGGGCAACAGCTCTCTGAGGGCATGAGTTAGTCCCTCTGTATCTTCGGGTACAGTACAATGATTGACACATTGATAAAGTGTTCAATAAATGCTTTAGTAATTAAATTGAGTAAAGTCAGGTCTTTCCACCCTTTCCCATAGTGTTGATGCCTGGGTTTTATTTGTTAATTGAAGCTGGCAACTTAGGAAAAAACTTTAATTTCATTTGGAATTTAGTTTTTGTTTCCTTTACATTGAATTAATTCCTTCCTTTTTTTCCCCATATTATAGCTTGAACTCAGGGCACTGTCTCTTTGCTTTTAGGCTTAAGGCTGATGCTCTACCACTTGAGCCATACCTCCAGTTCAGCTTTTTGCTCGTTAATTGGAGATAAGAGTCTCATGATTTTTCCTGCCTGGGATGGCTTTGAACTGTGATCCGCAGATTTCAGCCTCCTCAGTAGCTAGGATTATAGGCATGAGTTACCAGTGCCCAGCTCCATTGCATTTCTTTTTTTTTTTTTTTTGGGGGGTCCGGTCGTGGGGCCGAACTCCGGGCCTGGGCGCTGTCCCTCAGCTCTTCAGCTCAAGGCTAGCGCTCTACCATTGAGCCACAGCACCACTTCCGGATTTTTTCTTTTTGCTTATGTGGTGCTGAGGAATTGAACCCAGGGCCTCATGCATGCAAGGCAAGCACTCTACCACTGAGCCACCTTCCCAGCGCCCTCCATTGCATTTCTTAAGGATATTTCTTTGGTTTATTCCTTCAAGCCATACAGCAATGATTTGCTACTCATTACTTTGTCTACAACTAAAAAATGGACTCGAGCCAATACAATGCTAGGTGATTACGTATAATTTGTACATTATGGGTTTTAAGATACACTACAGCTAAATTCAGGTTAATATCCTTATTGTTAGTTTGAAGACAGCATGTGTATCTACTTTAGAACCAGATTTTTTAAAAGACTAATTAGAATTTTCAAAGAAAATATTTTCTGAAGTTTCCAGATCAGTATATATCTATTTAAGTGGTTGTTTTTTTTTTTTTTTACTAGATGGCTTTCTGGGAAATTTGATATTAACAAGTGATTAGTGCTCCATTAAGTTTTCAGGTTAATTACACATCTGTAAGGGAATTATGAGTAAATCAGAGTAATTGACAGAATGAGTGCACATCCATAAAAGAATCATTAAACCAGAATAATTTATTTGCATGAGTCCGTGGTGGTTAATCAGTCTTCTAGAAACATCAGAGAGGATTAACTAAGAAGGGAAGACTGTTCCTGAATGTGGGTGGCATCATCTGTAGTTCAGGGGGTAGGGGATCCAGATGTAACAAGGAGAAATAATAAAGAAAATTTACTCCTGCAAGCATTCTAGCCTCCAGTCTCTTTCTTCCTGGCTGCCATTAGGTGAACTCTGTTCTACCATACACTCCCTGTCAGGATAGACTGAATCTATGAATTAAAAATAAATCCATTCTCCCTTAAGTTTCTCTTTGGGATTTTATACAGCTCTTTTTTCTGATGGACATTATTGGCACATTGTGCTCTCCATACACACACACACACACACATACACACACACACACAAAGTTAGATGATTGAGAGGCAGCACAGTATGATATATAGGAATTTGGGCTTTGTGTAAAACAAATTTGGGTTTGAGTGCTCTGTAACAGTGTATTTGTATGACTTTAAGAATACTAATCTCTTAAAAGATCAGTTTCTTAATCCAGAAAATGTTTTTGCATATGTTTGATACTCAAATGAGATTATCATAAAGTAGTTAGCATCAATTCCTGCTATATGGAATTAATTAATTATTAGCAAGTACTACAATAATTTATTTTCCCTATGTGTCTCCCTCCCCCTTTTCTGCTTTGACAAGATAGGAAACTTCTTATTTCCACTTCTCTCTAGAGAACTAGCTCACCAGGTACTATTCCAGTGGCTCAAATGGGAAGAGGCTCTGCACTCTATGGAATTTAGAATCTATGTCTCTCCTGCGGAGTTATATTTGTTTCATCTATATGCTGTGTGATCTTTACAAATGACTTCATTTCTAAAAGCCTCAGTTCCCTCAGCTATATCATGGAGCTCATGATACCTTGAGTGAGATCATGAATATAAAATGTCTACCCCAGTGTCCTACACCTGCTTGATAGGTCCTCAATAGTGTTAACAATAGTCATCATCAAGAAAGCAATTAGAGACTAATGTAGTGTTTTACACTCATAATCCCAGCTATTTGAGAGGCAGAGATAACACAAGCAAAATATTAGTGAGATTCCAACTTAGCAAAGCTGGATGTGGTGATTCATATTTATAGTTTGAGATTAGCAGGGAACATAGGTGGAGACTTGAAGGCTGAGACTAGTCCAAGCAAAAATCCAAGGTCCTATCTGAAAAATAACCAAAGTAAAAAGTACTGAAGATGTGGCTCAAGTAGTAAAATGTTCAAACCCCAGTTAGAAAGAAAGAGATAGAGAAGAGAAAATTAAATAAAACAAATAATACTGGACATGATGCACATACCAATAATCCCAGCAGCCTGAGCTATGTAGTGATATCTTGCCTCAAAAAGAAGAAAAGAAAAGGGAGAGAAAAAAGAAGAGAATTAGCAAACATATATAGTAAATATATGAAGAAAAGGGAACCATTGCACACTGTTGGCAGCAATGTAAATTGCCATTATGGAAAACATGAAAATTCCTCAAAAATTAAAATACTATTGTATATACGTCCAAAAGAAATGAAATAAGTGTATCAAAGAAATATCTGCATTTCTACACCGATCAAAATACTAATTAGAATAGCCAAGATATGGAAATAATCAAAGTATCCATCAACTGATAAATGTATGAAGAAAACATGATGATACAGACAAGGGAATAGTATTCAGTTGTTAAAAAAGAAATCCTGGGTGGGGGGAGGGGAGGCTGGGAAGGGATGGGAAGGGTAAACAAAGGGGGAGGCTGCAATGCTTGATAAGAAATGTACGCATTATCTTGCCCATGTAATTGTAACCCCTCTGTATAGTATGTTCACAAAAAATAAAAAGAAGAAATCTTGTCATTTGTAACAATATAGATTAAACTGGAGATTAATCGTGTGTGCCAGGTACAAACGATCTCACTCATATATGGAATCTAAGAAACTTGCTATCATAAAAGTGGAGAGTGGTGGTTAACAAAGACCAGGGAGATGAGCAAGGTGGAGGGAAAGAGAAAGGCTGATCAGTGGGTGCTAAATACAATTAGATAAGAACAAGAAATTGTGATGTACTACTGAGCAATAGGATAAATACAGATAATGATATACTACAATACTTTCAAAAAGCTAGAGGAAAGGTTTTGGAATGTTTTCACTATGAAATAGCAATAAGTATTATATGAAAGGAGAGGTTAGCACTCTCCTGGACAAGGATGGAAGAGGCCCTTGGGCCTGACAATATGCATACCATTAAGGCATTGCCACCTACTTTGTGGCATGTAGCCATTTTTTATGATAAATTATACAGGTTTCTAGGCATTCACACAGAGTGAGACCAAAGGAGGATATTCTTAGGAGAGGATCCCAAAGGTGCAATAGCAATGTGCATCTAATCATATAAAATAATATCTAAATGAGCTCCAACAAGAGGGTTTTTTGTTGCTATTTTTGTTTTCCTTTTATTTTGTTTGTTAGTTTATCTGTCTTTGGTAGGGTAAAGGGGAGGCACACAAATTGCACGACAAAGGGTGAACAAATGCAGCCATGATACTCACTAGATACTGCATTGAAAATAAACTATAAAGCTTGTGGACGGGGGGTGGGCGGGAAAAACTGGGAGAGAGGCAGGGAAAGAGAGGCATTGTTTAAAAAGAAATGTACTCTTGATCTGACTTATGTAGCCATAACCCCTCTCTACTCCACCTTTACAAAAACAAAAATAAAAATAGAAATAAAAACATTAAGTGCTGGCCAGGTGTGGTAGCTCATGCCTGTAATCCCAGCTACTCCAGAGGCAGAGATTGGGATGACTGCTAAGCAAAATAGACAAAGCAAAAAAAGGCTAACGGTATGACTCATATGACAGGGAGCTAACTTTGCAAGCGCATATATCTGAGTTCAAATCCAGTATAACAATAACAACCAAGCAGCAACAACAAAACAATAACAAGTAGGGGAGGGAAGGGATAGTGGGAGAAAAAGGCAGGGGTAACAATGCTCGACAAGAAATGTACACAAAAATACTCATTACCTTACTTATATAACTGTAACCCCTCTGTACAGCATCTTTATAAAAAAATAAAATAAGGTATTTGAGGAGATAGGTATGTTTAATCTAATTTAAATATTTTGCAATGTTGTACACATGTGTACAATTTTTGTTTTCATGTATCAAACAAAAATAGTTAAATTAAAAATTATCTTTATCTTTAAAAAAAAAGAATTATAAAGTATGCTATCAGATTTGGGTCTGTTCAATATTTTGATAGATAAAAGGGATCTGTATTCAGTCAGAACAACCACTTGTCAGAACAGAAGCCAATATATCAAAGTACCAGCCCACTAAAGACATAACCCAACAATGAAGTTTCATATTATTACTCTGGCAATAAATAGCTGATAGTTACTTTGCTTTTTTTTTAATGTGACGGTCACAGGATTAATTGTATTACCTGCATCATCACAATAACATCCTGAAATGTACACACGAATATCCCCATTTTACAAAGAAAGAAATGAATCTTAGGGAGGAGAAATAACCCACGGCTATGAAATGAAAGCAACGGGCTGGAACTTGGATCTGATTTGAATGCACAGTGAAAGTGTGTGTGTGTGTGTGTGTGTGTGTGTGTGTGTGTGTGTGTGTGTGTGTGTTGTTTTGTTTCTTTGGTATCACTGTGATTTCAACTTGAATCTTCGAGCTTGGGACCTCAAGCTTACTAGCATCATACCCTACCACTTGTTATGCTCTCAGCCCTACTTTTCCCCTGAAATAGGGTCTTGTGAGCTTTTTCTGCCTGGATTGGCTTCAAACCATGACTCTTCTGTTCTCAGTCTCTCTAGTAGCCAAGGGTTGCAGGCATGAGCTACCAGTGTCTGACTTACAACACAGTTGTAGCCACTAAGTTATATTTCCTCTTTAGTTATGTCCTGTGAAACCCCAACAATCTCTTGTTGGTTAGTATGACCCTACTCTGAGATCAGGAAAACTAGAATATTAGATTTCTTCTCAAAAAGCTTTCCTCCCCCACAGTGTAACCCCGGTTTTCACTGTATTTGATGGTGCCCTGCATCTTGTATATACACTTCTCTAATTTAGAAAGGGGAAGGGGAAAAAAGGCTTAAATAAGGATACAGGTTGACCCATTGTAACAATGAGATGTACAAAACACTATGTTGAAAACGAACTTTACAACTTGGGGGTGGGGAGGGGACGGGGTAGCGCATGGGGGGGAGGGGTAGTTGTGGAGGTGGGAGGGAAGGGATCGTAGGAGGAAAACAAAGGAGGAGGCAGCAATGCGCAATAGGAAATGTACTCATTCCCTTGCTCATGTAACTGTAACCCCTCTGTACAGCATTTTTTACAATAAAAAACGTACAAAAAAGTTTTAGTTAATAAATAGGGAATCTAATATTCAGATTTGTCTTTGCACATTTCCCTGAAAAGACAGATACAGGGACCATTTATTATGAGGCCCGAATTGCCCATTTCTTCTGTCACCTCTACTCTTTCTCAAACTTTTCTTTCACATTGTGTCTTTTAAGCATATTATACACACGTTAGCAACAGCACACCCAGAGCCATATCTTGGCATTAAAATTCCATGAAGTCCGTTTTGAGAATCAGATTACCATACCTATTTTTAGCTCTTCACACAAACCACTCTTTTCCATTACACTTTTAAATACCCAGTAATAACGTGATGTTGAAGGTAGACCTTCTAGCTCAATAAAAATCCTGTGTTTGGTGTAATCACTCCAGGCACACTGACTGGTCTCAACACAATTGCATTACTAAGGCAGTACCTGCCTGGCCTCTCCTCAAGGCTTGGGACTACCCTCCCATGTGCTACTATATTTATCCTCCTTCTTGGCCATAAAAGGCTGGCTGAGTTGCCCTGGCATTCTGCTGCCTGACCACATGCATTATTTTTGAACTGGCCCCCGGTCTTTAGCCCTGCCTCTTAACTTTTTCTTGGATTCAGCCTAGGTGGGGTTTGCATTCTCTCTTCCAACTCCTAGCGACATCGGAACATTTCCCTAGTATCCCTCCTTTGGAAACTGGTAAGTGTGCTATTATGGTAGGAAAAAAAATGGTCTGAATAGTTTATATCTCAGTAGCACTGCAGTGTGGATGGCTTTCTCTTTGGCTTTTGAGCATAGCAGTTTTCTCACTGAGATGTCAGAAGAATTTCTTTGCTCCAAATGGGACAGTGTAGCTTCTGGAAGTGAAATCAGAACAGCAGGGTGCTGGTGGGGCTGGCAAGGCGGTTCTCAGATAACTGTATTCTTTTTAAATGAAGCTACTGTTCCTGGAACGGTAAGATCACATTTATCTCACATTCAACCTAAGTACTCTTTCTAAGTTAGAGTTCAACAGTTGAAATCTGGAGTGGATGAGGGACAGGAGGTTCTTTCTCTGTATGCCTACAATACTCTGTTTACAGATTAGCTCAAAAGAAAGCAAATTCACTCTGAACTTGCTAGGTTATACTTCAGTGATTTTACTCTGATGGTGCAGTGTGGATGAATCTATGAGCAAATCACGATATTCTTGATTTGAAAATGAGTCAGTAATTTTTTCAGAGGCAGCATAAATCCCAACATCATGATCCTGAGAAGATCACTCTGTGAACGATCTTGACCAGCTTTTTGCCTCTACTGTATATATGAAAATCACACATCAAAATGACAACTTTGGAGTTTGTATTTCTTCCTAAATTCCCAAGTTATCCTCAAAACCATCTTTCTCTCAGCAAACTCTAGCTGTAATGTGGTGGTATAGGCCTTGTTTACTTGATGGGGAGAAAGAAGGTAGTATATCTTTGTTCTGGAGGTCAGCTCTGTTGACTTAAAGTCAAACTCTGCTTACTTAATAATACATGAGCTATGTGTATGGAACATGAAATACAATTAAAGATGAATACATTTGGGGAAAATAAAAATAAGGAGTGGACAACAGAATTGAGGCTGGATATTTAAAGATTTTATTTTGTGAAAAATTACAGCATTTCAAATCATTTGGGTAGTGAATTTAGCTTATAATATAGTAGAAGTGCTTTTATTATTTATTTGGAAACCATTCAAACAGCATTTGTATAATAGATAATGTAGTGAATAACATCACAGAAACATATTGAAATACCTTCATAACTGCCTAACATAGTTTCATATTAATGTTTAACTCCTTTATATTATGAAAATTTATCTAATGATTATTCATTATGCATGATAATTATTCTGTATATTTAATAGCAGAAAATAGCTGTCTAATTAAGGAGCTGCTTGCTAGTAGCTATTTTTTTCCTCTTAGGAAATGCCATGTAGACTGATATCTTCCATGGGACCTTAGATAAATATTTCAGGAATGAAGTTTGCTAGATTTTCTTCTCTAGGGAATATATACTGAATTTATATATAGCTAAATAGAAAGTAGCTTTAAATAACAGAAGGAATGAATCTGATATAAGTCTACACATGCATGTTTCACAGTGATTTTGGAAAATTAATATACACTGATTTGTACAATTAATATACACTAATATAAAAATTAAAATTTTAGAGGAGTCACATGTGATTTAAAAAATAATAAATTTTAACTGAAAGCTATTTGCTCACATCTATAATCTTAGCTACTCTTCAGGCTAAGATCCATGAAGGATCAAAGTTCAAAGCCAGCCTGGGCAAGAAATCTATTAGATTCCATCTCTAATAAACTAGCAAAAATACAGACTGGAGGTGCAGCTCAAGTGGTAGAGTACCAGCTGAGCAAGCATGAGTTCAAGCCTTGGTCTCCCCACCCCCCAAAAAAAGATCTTTTAGAAGCTTGATTATTTCCTTGTGTGTGTGTGTGTGTGTGTGTGTGTGTGTGTGTGTGTGCACGCACGCACGCACACGTGCATATGCACGTGTGCACCAGTTCTGGGTCTTGAATTCTGGGCCTGAGCGCTGTCTCTAAGCTCCTTTTTGCTCAAGGCTAGCACTCTACACACTTGAGCAACAGCACCATTTCTAGCTTTTTCTGTGTTTAATTGGAGATAAGAGTCTCATGGCTTTCCTGCCTGGCTGGCTTTGAGCTGCGATCCTCCGATCTCAGCCTCCTGAATAGCTAGGATCACAGGCATAAACCCTAGTGCTTGGCTTCCAAAAAATATATATATATATATATTTGGGTCCGGTCGTGGGGCCTGAACTCTGGCCCTGGGCGCTGTCCCTCAGCTCTTCAGCTCAAGGCTAGCACTCTACCACTTGAGCCACAGTGCCATTTCCAGCTTTTTTTCTTTTTGCTTATGTGATGCTGAGGAATCGAACCCAGGGCTTCATGCATGCATGCGCTCTACCACTGAGCCACCTTCCCAGCCCCCCAAAATAATTTTAAAATATGATTTTAAGATAACATTTCAGAACATGCCAGAAATAACTTTACAAATGGGGATAAGGTACTTCTATAAAACTGTTGCTTCATCCCAGGCTGCCCATGTGGCTAATAGGCCTCCTGTCAGTAAACAGATTATTAAAGAAAGCTAATACAATGTGAATCCTCCCCTCTTGGTGCTAGGCAAAACACCTCTGATATTCAGCAGAATAGCTATGTCAGGTTCACAATGCTAACGCCACATTGAACACTGACTCTCTTCTTTCTGTGGGAAGACTGGAAGCCTCTATATTTCCTAATGGAGCAAGTACATTTTCTAGTTTGAAACTATACTTTAAAAAAAATGTTTGTGAGATTGAGAGCTTGTATATAATCAGGCTCCAGGGTTCAGTCTTTGGGCTTTTCCATTTACAATGGGCTTTCAGTACCACTCGCCTACTGTTGACTCCCACATGTAGAGCTCCATTCTAGACCTCTCCCCTGTATCCGACTTGATGGAATAGCAGGCATCTTCAAGTGCAGAGTCTTAAACCAGTCTTTACTTCCAAACTGATGCTTTCTTATCCTCACCCTCTCACACAGCAGTAACCTTAGACTTCTAGTTGCTCAGACAAAATCCTTGGTGTCATCTCTCCTTCACACTACAATTCAAAACTAATTCAAGTACTACTGGTTACACCTTGAGCCCCTACATGAAGTCTGGCCACTTCTTCCACTTCGTGGTCACCACTGGTTTGGGGTGTGGCAGTTGCCTTTGTATTTGTGTGCACTGTAACTGTTTCACAACTAGATAGCTTAACTAACAGAAATACACTTCCTTACAGTTCTGGAGGCTAAATATCTGAGATCAAGGTATTAGCAGGGATTGTTTTTGCTGAGGTCTCTCCTTGGCTTATAGATGTCCTCTTCTCTCTGTGTCTACTCATGGTCCTCCATTATATGTACCAATACGCATTCTAATTTCTTTTTCATATAGCAATGCTTCATGTGGGATTAGAGTTCACTTGAATAACTTCATTTTAACTTCCCTTTTGAAGATCCTTTCTCCAAATAAAGTCACATTCTGAAGGTTAGAGTTGTGGTCAAGCTTATGGATTTGAGGGGTTACAACTCAGCCCATATGACTTTTGGTTTTCTCACTTGTCTCGCAACAGTTTCTTCTCCAAGCTGATGACTTGCAGTGACTTCTCAGCTCTTTCAGAATAAAAGCCAGCTCCTTACAGTGGCCTATAGGACCTTACACTCTGTTCTTTATCCATTCAGTTCTCCTCACCTCAAACATCATCTCCTCTACCTCTTCCTCATTTTCCAACCCCTGATACCTTTGCTATGTACTGGGGTTCCTTCTATCTGAAGCATTCCCCTCCCCCCCCCCCTTCCACCAGATATTCCATGCTCAGATGTTGCTTTTGAGCGAGGCCAGGCCTAATGAGGCTGTTTGAAATTGTATCCATCTCTCTTTCTTATTTATTTTTTCCATGGCAGTTAGTACACTCAGATATACCTTACTAATTAATTTTCATTATTGCCTGTCTCTTAAAATGGAATATACACCTCTGTAGTAGGCTATTAGAGCAGATATTTTCTTTTTTTTTAACCACAGGTATATATATTTTTTATTGTAAAGAGCTGTACAGAGGGGTTATAGTTACATGAGTAATGAGTACATTTCTTGTTGAGCATTGTTACCCCCTCCTTTGTTTTTCTCCTACTGTCCCTTCCCTCCCCACCTTCCCCACTCTTCCTGCCCTGTTGTAAAGTTCATTTCCAACATAGTGTCTTGTGAGTCTCATTGTTGCAATGGGTCATCCTGTGTCCTTGTTTCAGCATTTTGTTATTCCCCTTCCCCTCCTCAAATTAGATAAATGTATATACAAGATTAGAGCATAAATTTTCTTTGTTCACCTTTTTATTGCCTTGTGTTGGAGTAATTCTGGTTCATAACACTCACTTATTATTTGTTGGATAATTAGTTATTACTATTATTCAATTATTTTCCCCATTACATATGGTCCCAAATAAAGCCAGAATAGAATGCTAAAAAATAAAAACCATGTGTTACCTATGGTTGGAGGCAAAAGTAAGGTAGCAAGAGTAAGAGCTAGAAATAAAGAAAACACAATGACAGAAGAGGCATCTGTGGGCAGTGAAGGAGGGAGTTTATTGAGTAGTTTATTCAGTTGGTCTGAACTTCACTTCCTTTTCCATTTAGTCATTGGAAAGAGAAGGGTAGGAATTCTTACACACTGCTTGAAGTGACTTGCTCCTCAATGGTTCACTGAAGGATTGTTCTCTTCTTGTAGGTGGTCTCCTTTCCTCAAGGGCACATGATGTCTTTGCCTTTCTATCAGAAGTCTCATCAGCACTATGATCTCAGCTACCGCAACAAGGACCTACGCACTACCATGAGCCACTACCAGCAGGAGAAGAAGCGATCTGCCATCTACACCCATGGCTCCACAGCCTACAGCAGCCGCTCCTCTGCGGCACATCGCCAGGAATCAGAGGCCTCTAGCCAGGTGTCTGCTTCCTCCTACCAGCAGCAGGCCTCTCAGGCCTACAGTCTTGGGGCCACACAATACTCTGGTTCTGAAGTCAGTCGGAAGGCAGCTTCAGCCTATGATTATGGCTACTCTCACGGGTATGTCAGGAGCAGCCTCCAACCTTAGAGAAGAGGCACATGCTCTGAACCATCTTCCTAAATAGCTATTTTCTTCTTGTTAAATATGGCAGCCCTACCTTCAAACCAGGGTAAAGGGGGACTGTTTTTGGAGACTCGAACCCTGTGTCTATGCCTGTTTCCTTTTATTATCTCTTTGAAATTTACAGAGTGCTTCAGAGTCACACTGGCAAGTCTTGCTTGAGTTGCTAGCTGTGATATTTCTAGAAGCAGAGGAGTTTTGCCACAGGTTACTTTAGAAGCAGCAGAGCCAGAAAATATCACTTTAACACTCACAGCTGTTTCCTGGCTCTTATGTTCTTTCTGCTTAGATGAAAAACCTGTATAGTCACAGGCAACTGAATTATAGCAGATGTACTTTATTTTTTTTCTGTGTCTGAAAGGCCAAAATCAAAATTCTGAGCTATTATTCAAGCAGATCTTTTCTTTAGCTGAAACATTATATTAAAAAATTTGAGCCCAGTACCAGTGGCTCATGCCTGTAATCCTAGCTACTCAGGAGGCTGAGATCTGAGGATCACAGTTCAAAGCCAGCCCCGGTAGGAAAGTCTATGAGACTCTTATCTCCAACAAACTACTCAGAAAAAGCTGGAAGTGGTGCTGTGGCTCAAGTGGTAGCCTGGAACAAAAGAAGCTTAGGGAAAGTGCCCAGGACTGGAGTTCAAGCCCGAGAACTGGCAAAAAGTAAAAACAACAAACAAACAAACAAGCAAACAAATGCCTTGCCAGGTGCCTGTGCCAGACACCTGCAATTCTAGCTACTTAGGAGTCTGAGAGCTGAGTATCATGGTTTGAAGCCAGCTGAATAGGAAAGTTTGTGAGAGACTTATCTCCAATTAAGCAGCAAAAAAACTGGAAGTGCTATGGCTCAAGTAGTAGGGAGCACTAGTTTTGAGCATAAAAACTAAGGGGCATGGCACAGACCCTGAATTTAAGCCCCAGGACCAACACACACACACACACACACACACACACACACACACACACACACACATACACACAAGCTTTATTTTAGTCATCTTAAAAATACTAGGAGCAAATCTATACTGGGACAAAATTATATTTATTGGCCCAATGCTATGAAGGAAACAATATGGTAGACAACAAGAATTATTTTAAGATTCTAGAAGAATGGAGTTTAGACACAGGCCTAGTCTGCAAAACAAAGTCAGGATCTCATTTCCTTGGCAACAATAAACTTAGGATAAATGTGAAATGTTATATTCAGAAACCCTTTGCTTGGAGAAGGATTGAGGCTGTTTTTTTTGTTTTTGTTTTTGTTTTTGTTTGCATCAGTAAGTAACAGAGACCCTCCAGGCAAGAGTGACGTGTTTCAGTCTTATGAATGTAGTTTCAAACAGCAAGCTCACTGTTAGTCTTTGCTATCAAAGAAGAGAATTTCTTGGTGAGTCTGTACTTATCCAAAGGAGGTTACTATAACCTTGTTTAATAGCAATGTCCTTGAGAGAAATGTTGGTTCCTATGACCTCCACAGTTAGTTTATCTGTGACTGTTAGTCCAGCCTACTGAGTGTTGAATAGACATTTACTTTCTTAGTCCAAGGCAATTTTTATTCATCAGTATTCATGAAATGAAATATTTCATGGGGACTACAATCCACTTGCAAAGTACTTGAGCTTTTGTAAAATTAAAACTCTGCAGCCTACAGAAAAATTGCTGATCTTAAAAATGTAGATTCCTAGGCGTTATGTTCAGTAACCACCTCTACCCCTCTTACGTATGGTATACATGATGATTTTTTCGTACAAACATAATTTTTCTAAAATCCAAGTACATAAGATAGGCAACTGATAACAATGCACCGTAAAACCTTCAGAAGGAAAGGAAAATGTTTTGTGGACCATATTTTTGTGCGGCAGTTTTTAAGTTATTAGTTTTTTAAAAATCAGTACTTTTTAATGGAGATAACGTGACCAAAAATCTGTCACAGAATTTTGAGACCCATTAAAACAAAGTTTAATGAGAAACAAAAAGATAGGTAACTAGAAAAGTCATTGATCTCTGCGCATCTAGAAAGTGATTGGAGCAATAATAGAATGGATTGTATGAGTAGACGGGGAGAAGGCAGAAGCTCCTCAATGCCTGTTGGGTTTGGATAGCAGCTGATCTACAGCTGTCATGTTGTCAGTGACAGTGACCTCCTGGGAGCTTCTGCTAGGTTCAGTAAGAGAGCCAGAGTCTGCTGGGGTTTACCTGGAATGTATGAGCACAACGCTCTGAAATTCCATTTTAGATGGAGCAAGATCATTTTGCAGTCTCGCTTTCATAGGTCATGTTCTGCCACAGGATATGTATAAGGATTGTGTGTTGGCTGCAAATATGGAAATATTGCTGCGGAGGGGAATTTATTTCTTTTAGCACTTGCTTCCAACAAATTGCCTTCCAAAGGAAAGTTAGAAGGAATTAACACTGTGTGTAAGTGACAAGCATCACTTTGTTCTCTCAAAAAATGTTCCATAGATATGTTCAAGAGCTTCATTTAGAAAAACAGCTGTCTGTTAATGGAGGAGGATTATGTTTTAAATATCAGTTTTCCTAGACTTTCTGTTCTGGGTCTATAGAAGATGGGTATTTATGTTATGCAGTTGTTAGTGTAACTTTTTGTGTGCTGAGTTCGTTACTCCAATGCAGAAGAACCTAAAGAATTTTTTGAATTTGTGTTTTTAAATGATCTCTATTTCTTCAGCTCTTGTTAGCTCTTATAAATTAAAATTATGATTATTTTTATACATCTTTAATTTATCCATACTTATAATATTCATAATTATGTATAATCTGGCATATTATAACAAACAGTAAATGGCCTCTGTTTTGCTTGGTTTGGTTTAGTTTGGTTTGGTTTGGTTTGGTTTGAGACAAGATCTTGTGCTGGGTGCTGGTGGCTCATGCCTGCAATCCTAGCTACTAAAAAGGCTGAGATCTGAGGATCATGGTTCAAAGCCAGCCCCAGCAGGAAAGTCCATGAGACTCATCTCCAATTAACCACCAGCAAACCAGAAGTGGTGCTATGGCTTAAGTGGTAGCGCACTTGCCTTGAACTGAAGAGCTCATGAACAGCACCCAGGCCCAGAGTTCAAGCCTCATGACCAATAAATAAATAAATAAAATAAATCTTGTTATGTAGTCTAGGCTACAATCCTGCTTTAGGCTCCAAAGTGCTGGGATTACAGGTGCATACACATGCCTCCTAACAATTGGATTTCAGAGTACATTTTATTCTGAAAACATTTGCTTTATATAATTCTTGTAAGATGTAGCTGCGTTAGCTAAAAGAACCAAGGTAATAGGTAATGTGTGTGTGTGTGTGTGTGTGTGTGTGTGTGTGTGTGTGCACATGTGTGTTACTAGGGTTTGAATTCAGGACCACATGCTTGCTAGGCTGCCTGGTTGTTCTGGAGATGGAATCTAGTAAAATTTTCTGCCCATACTGTTCTTGAACAGTCTTCCAGATCTCAGTCTCCTAAGTAGCTAGACTTACAGACATGAGCACCAGCATCTAGCAATAATAACCTTTCTATATGAAATATAATCATAATGCTTATTCCGTGTTCGACATCATATCTTATTCCTTCTCATTATGAATACATTTGTGTAGGCAAATGTTTCCATATTTTCTGTGTTTGAACAACTCAAGTTTCTGGGTAGAAACATGTTGAGCTGGAAATGGGGAAAGGAGAAGAATATTGTATCTTTTCCTTTGAATCATGCTATGTGAAACACAAAGAAGGTTAACCTAATCTTGAAGCTATTTTAGTCTTTCTGTTTTTAGACCTAGAACTAGCAGCTGGAGATACTATTCTTTGAACACTTTGAAATCTTCATCTCTTCTTTAGGATATATTTAAGCTTGTTCAAAATGAAATGATTTTTCCCCCACTAAATGAAATACCTCTTTGTTTTGTAAGGAATGTTGTTGGAAGCTTTTTGAGTTAGAAATACGCCTATATTAAACACCAGCAAGCAGGAGGCTCCATCTATTTTTAGCCTCAGCCTTACAGTGAGATTTCTAGTGTTAAAAGTAGAAAATATGGAGAATTCTAAGTGCTCAGTGATTGGCTGACCTAAGTGAGTCTTAGGAACAAGGTAAATGGCTCAATGTAAATGATTGCAGCACAGACTGGTGACTTGCTCTGACCTATCAGTTGTAAAATAAGTTTTGGAAAGGTTTTTCCAAATGCCTTTATGCTTGGTCACATTGAGGGAAAAATAATCCTAAAGGAAACCTCAAACCTCTAGAAATAATAAGATTGTTTTCTATAAGTATTATCAACAACAAGTATTAGCAGAGATTAAAGAAAACTCATGATTACTTCACTACTCTTATGCAAGGGCTCTTTTATTTTTTATGGTTGTATATTAATTATTTAAAGGGGTTTTGCTGTGATATTTCCTTATTTGCATATATTGTACTTTGATCAATCACCACCTCTATTATTCTTCTTTATTCCCCATTTAGAACAATGCTAGTAGGTTTCATTATTTATTTATATAGTGTATTTTAATTATATTCACCACCCCCCGCCATTTCTCTTTTCACCCTCCCACTGGTTCCCCCTCCAAACAGTCTCCTTTTATATTCATGTCATTTTATTAAGGTTTAGATTCTTCATACAAGAGAAAATATATGATATTTGTCTTTCTCAGTCTGGGTCATTTCATGTAACACAATGATTTCCAGTTCTATCCATTTTCCTGCAAATGACATAATTTTATTCTTCTTTATGGCTGAATGGACACTTCAGTGTATGTGTGTGTGTGTGTGTGTGTGTGTGTGTGTGTGTGTGTAAATGCTACTACAAAAATGATGTTCAAGTATCTCTAGTGTGTGCTGACTTGCATTTCTTCAGATATATGCCTGTATAGAGAGTAGTAAAGCAGGATCATATGGTAATTCTGTTTTCAGTTTTTTGAGGAACCGCCATACTGATTTCTATAGTGCTT